CTCTTTGGGGAGAAGAATTTTACAAAAAGTTGCAGAGGCTCCGGACTCTATGAATTCTTCCCGCCCTGGGACATCATAGCTTGGGTATGTCCCATGCTTGGCCTCTCCAAGCAGCGCTCAGGAGAAAGCCTGTTGGCTTACCTGAACGGTCGTTCTCTGAGCACGGCGGGAGAGTCCAAGCATGGATTAACACAGTCTATCTGCCCTAGGACTGAGTATCTTTTTTCCCCCTTTGACCACGCCTCCCTTTGCCTGTACAATCTCAGATTAGAAACGAAGAAGACTCTGTTTAGGACTGCCTCCACAGTTCCTCGAAGGCCTCACTGGAGGCAATAAACCCCTGGGCGGGTTTGGACTCTCCCGCCGTGCTCAGAGAACGACCGTTCAGGTAAGCCAATGGTCTTTCTCCTGAGCGCTGCTTGGAGAGTCCAAGCATGGATTAACACAGTCTATCTGCCCTAGGACTGAGTATCTTTTTTCCCCCTTTGACCACGCCTCCCTTTGCCTGTACAATCTCAGATTAGAAACGAAGAAGACTCTGTTTAGGACTGCCTCCACAGTTCCTCGAAGGCCTCACTGGAGGCAATAAACCCCTGGGCGGGTTTGGACTCTCCCGCCGTGCTCAGAGAACGACCGTTCAGGTAAGCCAATGGTCTTTCTCCTGAGCGCTGCTTGGAGAGTCCAAGCATGGGACATACCCAAGCTATGATGTCCCAGGGCGGGAAGAATTCATAGAGTCCGGAGCCTCTGCAACTTTTTGTAAAATTCTTCACCCCAAAGAGGCTTCGGCCGAGGCAAAGGTGTCTATTTTGTAATTGCAAATGAAGGCCGTGGGGGATGCCCACGTGGCTGCTCAATAAATGTCAATGATGGACACCTGGGTCGCCCATGCAGCAGACGTGGCCGCACTTCTTGTGGAGTGAGCCGTCATCTGGCCCGGCACGACCTTGCCGTGAAGTTCGTACGCCAGTTTGATGCCGGCTCGCAGCCAACGTCCGATGGTGTGCGATGAGGCTTTATGACCTTGCGACCCAGAATGAAAGGAGACAAAAAACGACTCAGATCGTCTGAACTCTTTGGTTCTCCTGACATAAATGCGTACAGCACGTCTTACGCCCAACTTGTGCCAATCCCTTTCTCGTGGATAAGACGGTTTGGGGCAAAAGTTGAGAAGGATCACCTCCTGTGACCTGTGAAACAGGGTGTTCACTTTGGGTAGGAAGGTGGGATCGAGACGTAGGATGACCCTATCTGGATGGACAATACACAGGTCCTCCCTTACTGGCAGAACCCACTCGAAAGGGCTTGTGAAAGGAGCCCTGCTGGTGTTGCTGCCAACCCCGTGCTCTGAAGGAGCCTCTGTCCTGAGCCCTATCACCCTGCTGAGAGTAGGACCTATGGTAGGAAGAAGAGGTTGAAGGCTGGGCGCTATCTTGTGCCCGAAAGGACTGCCTCCGAAAGGAGCCAGAACCTTTGCAATCAGCCTTCTTCAGAGTTGCGGGAAGGATCTTTCTCTTGTCCTTGGTCTCAATGGTGAATTTATCCAGGGCGTCTCCGAAGAGGAGACCCCCCTTTGAAGGGAGCGGATGCCAACATCCACTTTGCCTTCATCTCCGCCTTCCAGTGGCGAAGCCAGAGCAGGCGGTGAGAGGTAACGTTGGAAGCCAGTGCCCAGGATGCGAATTTTGCCGCATTCAAGGACGCATCAGTGGAATACTCCACTGCAGTGATGATTTTTGTCAATTCGTGCCTCCATCAAGATCCCCCGGGGCGGGGACTGGGTCTCAATTGTCTTAGCCAGAGGAGAGATTACCGTATAAAGAACGAGGCAGAGGTGGAGGCCCTAATGGCCCAGGCAGCCGCCTGGTGAGTCTTTAGGCATGCCTTCTCTGACTTTTTATCCTCCGCCTTTAGACCTAGAAGGTCCGCCGGCAGGTTCCGGCAGGTTGGAGGTAGAGGTCAGGGATACCACCAGAGCATCTACCTCAGGCAGCTTCAGGGCTTCCTCCATTTTTGGCTCAACAGTGTATAAGGTCTTGTCACCCCCACCCGGGTTGGTCAAGGTCCCAGGTTGAATCCACTGCCTCTGGACCACGTCCATGAATAGCTCTGGCACTGGAATGAATTCCTGTGTCGAAGCTGGTTCCTTAAAGAGGCTCTCCTTGTGGTCCCTGGTGCCAGATGTTCCAGAAGATGACCGCTTAGGAGTGGTCCCTAACTCTGTGGCCGCCTTCGCCTTATGTAAGATGGACTTAAAGAGAGAAGGCTTAAAGAGGCCAGTGAAAGCCGGTTTGTCTGGGGGGAGGTCCTCATCTTCCGACAACTGGAAGTCCTCCACCTCCCCTTCTTCCAGGGCTGACTCCTCAGTGGCCACCGAGGTACTGGGGGAGGCTAGCGCCTGCTCCCTCAAGGACAAACTGGGAGAATCTGGGTAACCCCAGGAAGCTGCGGGGGAGGAATCCCTGGATAATTCCCCTGCTGTTGAGGGAGACCTGCTCGCCCTGGGGGAAACTGGTCCCTGCTCAGGCCTCTGCCCTGGGGTGGGATCAGGTGCCTCTCTGCATTCAGGGGATGGAAGATGCTCCTGTGAAACAAGGGAACCCCCCCCCTTTTGCGGTGTTTGGCGCTATCGCTATGATTATTGCCCTCAGAAGGTCCCGTGGGATGCCTGCTAGAAGGGCCTTTGGTCCCTTTCCCCCCTTTGGGCGGGTTATCCAGCCTGGGCCATTTGGCTGAATGCCCTGCCTGGGCCTCCTGAAGCTCCAAACCTCTGTCTGGCATGGTGGCTCAGCCAAGGAAGGGGCGACGAGGAGCTGACTTAGTAGGCTGGATAGGGTGCAAGCCAGCCGGCTACTGGTGCCCGCAGATCATGGAGGAGAGGGGTGCCCGCAGGACTAGACCCCTCCTCAGGCCGTCCACAGCCCTCCTGCTGGTGCGACATAGGAAAACGCAACCTTCTGGCGCCCCAGACAGGTCCCTGGCCTCTCGGACGGCAATCAGCAATGCTGCTCGTAGGTTGTAGGTTTGTTTTATTTATATGCCGCCCTTTTCCGTGAGGGACTCAGGGCAGCGAACAACTCAAGGGGGAAAGGGAACACAAAGTACAATACAAGTAATTAAAACAACCAAGAACCCCACAGCCACACAAGTCGAGGGGGGAAGGGCACTCATCATCCCCAGGCCTGCCGGCACAGCCAGGTTTTGACAGAAGG